TCGCTATTTTATTGTTATGTGTTTTCGACTAATATTTTTTGGTATTGGTGTAAAATCCAAATGATTCGTCGATAAACTAATATAAATAAACTAAATTTGATAAATTAATGTCTCAACAGTTTTTTGTAGACAATGAAGAGTTATTAATCCATTTAATTGATTATTTTGAAGAGACTTGGATTGGGAGACCAACTCGAAGAAATATACGGCGACCTCCAATATTTGATTTGACATTGTGAAACCAATATGATGCTACACAAGCAGGTTTACCAAAAACAAACAATAATAYTGAAAGTTGGCATAGAGCATTCTCGTCTWTGTTAGCTGCGGCTCATCCTACTATATGGCGACTTATTGAGGTTCTTAAAAAAGAACAACATTTAACTGAAGTAAAAATTAATCAATTTATTGCTGGACAGGAACCTTCAGCAAAAAAGAAAAAATATCGAGATATTGCTAGGCGTATAGAAAATATTATATATGATAAACGTGATCTAGATGAGTTAATTGGAATCGCTCATAATTTAGAACTACAACATTAAAATATTTTATGATAATTTTTTTGTATTTTTATTACTTATATTTTATATTTACATTTTATTAATTATATTACACATATTATTATATTTACACGATCTCGGTATAATTTGAATATTTCAGAAATGAATACAATATGGACGGGGAAATGTCGTACGGGGAAACGTATTGGACGGGGAAGTGGATACGGGAAACATGTGACGGGGAAATGTCAGACGGGGAAGTGAACATATACCACAATTAGTATTTGAACGAATCATCGACCTCTCTGTAAAAGTTATGTCTTACGTATTTCTCTCTCATATCCATTACCAACTATAAATCCGTATCATTAAAATTTGCTCCATTATTTMTTCAACTACGTTTTTAAAAAAACATATAAAACATTTTAGTAGATTACATATATAGATACCTAGGTATTATACGAATATTAGCTCTTAATGACAATGATTGTTATCCATGTTTTAAACATATTCAATAATTAATCTGATAATCAACAATGACGTCAGATGTACCATACAGGTACAATAAATTGTTTGTGTCCACTACCTACTACTATTATAATGAACGTTTCCAGTCATGTCCCACATCACTGTTTTCAAGTTCACTGGGCTAGCACCAGTAGCACCCCTCAGTGTTCAAAAAGTGGTCAAACAGACTGGTTGTGTGCGTGTGTATTAATAATAAAACATATTATTATTTAACTATATCGATTAATAATTGTTTATAAATTTTCCTCGAATATTGTTATACATACATATATTTATATCCAGACAAAATGACCGAGTTACCATTGCTGATGTTTTTTATACTGACTCTCATTTGTGTGGTAATTTAATTTTTTATACAAATATATTTACTCGTTTCATTGTTATAACGATTAACGTTAGTAATATACAAGGTTTGCATATTATTACATTTTTAAGGCGAATATATTTGCTTCGTTTTTACTTAGTTGGAAACGCATTGTTCCATTTTTTATTGTATTATTTACATTAAAACTATTAAATAAGATATGACTTGAAGGCGTTTGCAATCAACCTAGGTACATTGCTAAAAATCGGCAATGTTTTTTTTTTTTTTWTTATTGATTTCATGAAAAACTTTATTAAACATGGCCATTGATTATAATTTATAATATATAATGATGTAGGTCCTATATATAAAATGATTAATGTTTAATTATATAACCTCATGCCTACCAGTAATTTCGAAAACATTTTTTTATTTGTCTTGTGCAGTAAAAACTCAATCATATAGGAGCAGGATGATAATTACCATTAGTAATTTTTGTATTTTTAACCACTTCAATGAAGCTTTTCYTACTAAAAATGTGTTTAGTAAAATATTAATATAAATAAATAATTTTTATTTTCCATATTTTTATATTAAAGAAGACGTCTTAACCACATGTGCCATTTCCGTAAAACTAGGTAACGCATAAGATCTCAACATATACGTTCAGCAGTTCCAGTTTTGTATCGTTAGCATAAATATTAGAGTGATACCAGACTGAGCTACTCTTCATTTTTTCTTCAAATTATAGCGTACCCCTTTATTATATTCATCAAGGAATAGGGTTACCATTAAATTGATTTGCTTAATTGTTAAACTTCATTTAGAGTCCACCTTTATTTATTTTTCCAATTCAACCACTGAGTGCGTACCTAAAATAGCAAATTTTACGCTCAGAAGATCACGTTTATCTCAATTAGTTTAAAATTTAGAGTGAATTGATCTTAATAAAAATAATGGTAAGATTATTATCTAGGGCATCGTGTGGGCTTTTTATTATATTTTAATTTAAAAAAAAATTAAAAGGACGTCTAACCCACATGTGTTGTCTCTGTCTTACACAAATACGACATAGGAAATGTTCGTTCGCTATTTTTAATAGGGTATTGTCAGTTTTGATATTAGAGTGAATCCATCTATTATCAAACTTTTAGGTAGCAACATTATCTGTGTTCTCTTGTTGGATTTTTACGATATTTTAAAATGTTCATAACTCACTTAAAAATTAAAATATCGTAAAAACCAACGAGAGAACACAGAAAATGTTGCTAGACATGTAGTACCTACATTTCCTATGTCGTACGTGTGTAAGACGATGACGACACGTGCGGGTGCAATGTCCTCTTAAGGGAAAACGGRAATTTTTATGTAAAATAAATTTTTGGAAAAGTCGAATATTGATATTGGTGTAATTGTAAAACAAATTACCGTATATACATGCAATTTTCACTGAATGTTAATACTAAAATTTCGTATGCATGATAAAATTTTCAAAATATTTCAAATATTTTTAAGTTATTTGTAGGCATTTGAAATTTTAGTCGTTTTAGTTTTTTTTTATAAATGACAACACAATTTTATTCATTAGTAAAAAAGCTTCAAAATTTAATACAAGGTTCCTAATATATATGAATATTATTATATATTATCAGTTATCACAATGGTAGTTAAAAGTTTTTAAAAATACATAGTTACAATCTTAATTAAAAAGCACTAAAGTTCAAATTTTGACAAAATATATAAAAATCACGAAAATTTGCAATTGATTTTGAATTAGAAATTCATAAAAATTTATCTTTTTTAAATCTAAGATTGGAAAATTTAATGCAAGATTCTGGGTTTGTCTAATTTCATAAAATAAAAAATGTTTACTGGAAAGTCAAATTATATTTTTATGAGAATTTGAATTACARCATTGGATATTCGCTCAATTTCTCTTGAACCTATATTCGTATTTTGTTGTTATTCAAAAACGAATAACTGTAAAAACTTGAATTTTACACTAAATATTTATTTTATCTATTCCTATAATTGATATTATTTTCAAAATATTTGAATAATTTTTAAGTTATTTATAGACATTTGAAATTTTCCGCTTTTGTTCTATAAATGTCGATAAAATTTTATTCAGTGGGTCATAAAACTTTAAAAAAATTTCGCGGGTACTTTTTTTGAGAGTATTGTATTTATAGTTTTATTTATTTAATTAATTTTATTTATAATTTTTAGAGTATACTTTATATTCTAATATTAATATTTAATAGTTATTGCCGTTTATAACTTATGTTAATACTTAATAATAAATTGTATAATATATATTATACTATGAATGACTGGGTAAGTTGGGTACATAATTAATGATTTGATTAATTTGGAATTTATTTTATGGATGGGTAGGTACTACATTTTTTTAAAATAATAGCAATATTATTAATATAGTATAAAATTATAAAATATCCTAGACAAACCATCTCCGATCAGAATCGTTTTTTGTATACAATGATATTATATCATTGAATTCAAATTTAATACCGTCCATTACAGTAACCCACTTGTAGCCTAATGCACAGCGGAGCTACATTAATTTACCAACTTTTTTTATTGGTTATAAATGTTTGAGGTTAAAAACTTTACAACATTTTTTTGAGATTTAGGGTGCTTAGTCTTTCAAAAAATACTGAACATTTTTCAAAGCTCTTCACTTCTTATTTTGTAAAGACATATTTAAACCCCCAAATGGATAGAAGAATTTAACTAATAATTAATAAACTATAATCATTATTTTAGTTAATAAAATTAGTTCTTATGAATATGAAGTTGTTAATTGCATTTAAAAATAATAGAAAATAGAACTTTAGTCTCCTATGAATTAAAWTTTTTTAAATCTCAATGTGATACATAATTAACATTTAATCATAAAATGGGTTTAATGTACTTAAAAATCATCTTGTGTAGGATTATACAWATAACTTTTTTTGTTTTTAATAATTCTGTTAATATACCATWCATCTATATGCAGATGTAACAACTAACTAGTAGTTCATAATATTATTAAATAATATTAAATTTAAAAAGATAATGAAATCAAATGATAATTTAAATGGTTTTGTGAAGGACAAACTTACGGAATCGTCCTTTACCAACTTTCATAATATCTATTTTAAATAAATTTACCTAATACCTAAGCTATTTATTAATTTTTTTGTACTTTTTCATTTATTTATAACAAAAACAAATTTTTATGTTAAAAATTTTAAAAACCTACGCAACACATTAGATATTTTCTAAGAGATTGACAAGTTGTACATAAGTTCAGTTGTAAATACTGAACCTAGGTACTTACTTGTAACGTCATCCTGCTCGAATCAGTTTTTTTACGTATAATCTTGTTATTATTACGCAACGGCAACAACCATGGTTGGTTGTTGCCGTTGTTGGTATTGATACATGATGACTCTTAATAATTTATACATTTTAAATTAGTGGGTACCTATATAAATATACTTAAATTAAAGTCAAAGATCATTATTTTAAATTGTCTATATTAAACAACTTAGCAAGTGTAAGAGGTCCTTTTTAGTTAAATTATTTAAATTTTATAGTTTCAGTCGCCCAATTCCAAAGCAGAACACACTTTCATATCACATAATATTTCCCAACAGGTAGAATATTTATYGTCTTCTACTAAGAATGGGTCCGAAGTAACAAGATTAATTAATCAAGATAACACGACTAAAACCATGACTTTAAGTTATGAGGAAGATCAAAAGTAAGTTAACAGACAATTTATATTTAAGTTCCCTACTTTATAATATAAGTATTGAAGTATCTAAAATACTGGATTACTCCAGTAAACTACCGAATTACAAATATTCGTCGAGTCGTGGGAATGTACCAACGAACATCTATTATGGGAATTAAATTATCTTTGACTCGTGTTACTTTTACTGACAATCCTCGGGAAGGAGGAGAATAACGAATAACGAATACCGAATACCGAATATTCGTACAAGTACTCCATTCCCACTACTCGACGAGTAACCACGAATACCAAATATTCGTCAAATACACGAATCGTGGGATCCCGCCTTAAGATAGGTACCTACTATTCGATTGTAGATCACAACAGTAGATATCACGTGGCCGTTCGATCGATAACTGTACTTTCTTTAGTAACATTTCTTAAAAATATGAGTTCATTTTAACTAAATTGGGTCCAAAAACGCCCTAATGACGATGATGATGGTGATTTTTTTACAATTAAAAAAAAGTGTGTTAAAACCAGTGGTCGGGACGCTACTGTTTTTTTTTGTAGCACGCTAACGCTACTGCTACTCTACTAAAAAAAGTAGCTCTTTCGCGATAAAGCTTCTTTTTTTTAATGTAGAGCGCTATTTCTAACGCTATTTTTTAAATGAAGCACACTAAATTTTCGCTACATTTTTGAAAATTTTCCTATTTATTTACCTATTTCATGTATTTTTGTACACAACTTACAAAACTCAAAACAAAAAAACATTTTATTGAAAATTGCCAATTGTAGTTTGTACTGATTTGAAATTTGGTCACTGGGAAGGAAGATTTGAGAAGGTAAGGTGTTTAGTGATTACTGATAACAAACAATTGTGGTGTGTTAAACATTTAAAAAAAAAAGATTATTGCAAACATGGATCTATTACATTTTTATCTATGCATAGACATAACAAATTAACAAAACAATATCTCTTTAAATTAATAAAACAAAAAAGTAAAATACAACCAGTCTACATAATAGTATTTTAATTATCATGAAATAGATTGGAAATAGCGATAAAATAATGACAATTTTCAATACGCTAACCGTAAATTTGTTGCGCGCTATAGAATTTCGCTACATCGTGTACCTATATTGTAGCTACGCTATGTTAATTTCTACAAATAACGTAGCGTGCTACTGTAGCGTCGCTACAATTAGCGCGCTACTCCCGACTACTGGTTAAAATAAAACTGTGTATAACTAAGAAACGACAGGAAATGTGGAAAATACAGGAATAGAAAACGAGAAAAAACAAGCGAAATACCCGATTGTTGGAATATAGGTCAGTACGAAAATTTTAAATTTTCAAATGACTGGTTAATAGTTAAAAATAAATCATTAGGTTGTTTAGTGTATAAGAGCATGACTAATTTAAGATTATCATTTGATCAAAATTTACATCTTTCAAAACCATGGCAAGATTGTTATTATTTCAAATGGTAATAATAAAGTGACTCAAAATAAATCTCAAGTTTGAGAAAAAAGATATTTGTTGCTTACATACCTACCTATCTATTTTGTCATGCACCTACAGTGAACGCGTCATGACTTTTACACTACGCGTGCCAAGCTAGTGCTTGCATTTTTATTTGATGTACCTATATCACGTAATAGGTATCTTCACAAGACTAGTTTCAAATTATTAAAAAAATTATTTCTAATCAGTGAAAATAATTTATCAACATTTATTTATAAAATAAATGTACAACGAACTGGATTTACTATCTTAATTACTGGCAAATGTCGCCAAAGTTCTTTTTCTTATCTTATCTGTCTACAAACAGGTATTTAATAATATCGAAAATATTGTTTCGATTTTCAAATAACATTAAGTTGAATGTAGTTCAAACTTCGTCAAAAACAGATTATTCGAAAATTTAAATTTCTACATAGGTACTATAACTTTGCCAATTTTGCAGTTATAAAAAAACT